TAATATAAAGGGTTCCAACACGCAGTATAGGGAAGCGCAGAAAAATAACTATACCTATGTCTGGGGACTACCGATTGTGGTGCTGGTTAATGCGTTAAACGGATGCAGATGGGACTTCTAACGAGAACTGTTGACTAAATATAGAGCATGTGGATGCAACCATGTGGGCCAGCTGTGCACTTCCGAATTATCATTGCCAATGTTTGGACTTGCTGGCTGTCAGGCCGTCTAGCAGAGCTCAGCAGCTGACATGTGATGATGTATGTTCTGTGTCTGCTTTCAGACAAGTCCACAATCTACATTGTTACGGAGGCGGGAGCCCCCGTGCATTCACGGCAGTCGGCAAAAAGGGCCGCCCGGGGTACCTCACGCCGTCATGCCAGACGCCCACGCCTACGCATACGCCGTGAGCCGAGAAAACCAGTGGCCATCAGAACCGCTCTCTTGCCTTCTTCTGCCTATGAGCCGAGTTCTAAATACTGGGCTATAACAACTGGCAATGACGAACTAACTGGGCTATAACATACATGAATACAAAGAAGACAGAACTTTGCTACATTCCACGGGTAGAGGCTGAAAGTCCTCGCATAATCCACATGTTGTACAGTGACTTCATCAGAGGAAGGCACAAGTTTCATTTAGAAAACAACAAACAAAAAACTGTTGTTGGAGACGTTTTCTTGGCTTTAATTGGAGCAAACTGGTAAAAACATTCGTGTCCGCGAAAATATTGTTGTAAAAATACCGAAAAAAATTACTAAACTTGGCTCTTAAAAAGAAGTTAAATTGGCGGAAGAAATAGTTACCGTGACATTGACATCACTTCACTGTTGATGCTGCCGAAGACGGAGGCACCGACAAAGATAGGCATCGCGTGGGCGATCCATGGCATAGCTCGATTCGCAAAGAGCTGAAAGGTTGAATAATAATTGGAAGGCAAGTTAAGTACGGATGGTGTTCGGGGAAATGACTGCTCGCACATGGAGAAACGAATGGTCTCGAAAAATTGACAAGGCACTGGAGGGTACGGAATCGAAATGTAGATGGTGCAGTCTTGCAGTAAATACGTTAGTCTGCCCATTTTCTTTAACCACGCCACTGACTGGGTTCTCGGGAAGGTCCTACAGGAAAATGACGGTATTGAGCTTGTATCCGAGCGCCGGTTGACTGACCTCGATTATACTGATGATATCGCTTTACTACCTTCGAGCTTTGGCGATCTACAGTCCATGGTGTCACGGGTGAACGAGGTCGCGAAATCGGTCAGTTTGTACATAAACGCTGGGAAGACCAAATTTTCTTCAGGCTGTGCAACCCTGTCCAAGAGAGGGCACCTCTCGAGATTAGTGGCTGGCTGCCTGAAGACGTAGACAGTTTCAAATACCTCGGAGCGAGGTTGCTGCCGAATGGACATAGCAAGGATGACATTGTCTCTCGAATTGACGCAGCTCGAGGAGTTTTCTCCAGCCTTCGAAAGTGCCTATGGACCCGACGCGATATTTCCATCTCCACAAATGTCCACGTGTACCGCGCATCTGGTTGGTCTGTCCTTCTATATGGATGCGAATGCTGGGCTATGCGCGTGGAGGATGAACGGAAACTGGAGGTATCTGACCATCACTGCTTAAGGATCATTCTTCGAGTTAAGTACACCGACTTCGTCTCAAATGAGACAATCCGCACTTACTGCGACCACATTGCAAGGGTATCCCAGGCAATGCAAGAAAGACGGCTGAGGTGGTTTGGACACGTTCTTCGCCGTCAACCTCACGAACTCAGTGTTATTGCCCTCGATTTGAACCCGTTACCTTATTGGAAACGTCGAAGAGGAAGTCAGCTCAAAACCTGGCTCCACTCAATCCGTCGGGGCATGGAAGTGGTTATTGGACCTTCGGTATTCGGTCTCCGGCGCTGGCGAAGAGAATGGCCCGAACGGTCCAGGTCTGCGGCCACGAATCCTCGCGCGTGGCATCGTTGACGCCGGCTAGATCAGTCATGATCGCCGCCGAAACAGGTACAAGTACGTTAGTTTGCCTTTCTTTTTTTCGCATAGGTCTATTGTTTATTTCCATGTACTATATATCCCACGAAACTCTGGACATTGAGCCGGAAGACAGCTTGAACAACACCTCTTGTTGTCAAAGATGGAACTTGAAAACGATAGACAGCAGTGGGGGTAATAAGCAGGTGCCATACGCGAGCGCATTTGTGGTTATCCCACTAGATAATGAGCCTACAGCTCACTAGCCAGTTGGTCCTAGTACTTAGCCCTGATTAACGTTAACATCGAAAGCTCAAAATGACTTAGGGAGCTGACCGCCAAAAATCATTTAACGTCTTCTGCACAAAAGGGCCAGAACTTACCACGGCCACGGCAGCCGATCCCTCACCAGAGCCAAGCAATTCAAAGGGAGAAAGGACCGCGAGGTAAGCAACATTTGCTAGCATGTACAAGCCCGTTACGAGGCCCAGTCCAAGCACGATCGCAAGAGGAAGATTCCTAGAAGGGAAGAAATCGAGATTGAAAGCAATGAAATGAAGTTGCATTCCGAGTTCGGAGTGAACAACACAGGCTTGAATGACAAGTGCCTCTAACATGCAAGGGTTGCCAGTTATTTTTCCAGCTTTAATTAAAAAGACCTGGCCATTTTTTAACATATCCTCCGAATGCTCTCTTCAGCTGCTGGTGTTTCCTATGTTTTTTAGCTGACATTATAAACAGCGACACTTTAAAACGGTCAAGCTATTTGCTGATCGCATCTTTAGTGAGGTTGCTCGCCCTCTCCACTCTGAACAAATGGCTGCAAAGTCTCCCCGTACTATGCGCCGAAGCTTCCGTCATATTTCTTGTCGTATATCGGCATATCG